AAATCCATTCAGATCAACAAGTCCAATAAGCCCTTGGAAGAAATCTGGAAGTTAAAGAAGGAACTGGATGATGAGACCCAGTCTCGGCAGCATCTGGAGGAAGAGATCAAAGTCATCCAGCAGAACATCTTCCAGCTTCAGAACCAGAAGCCACAGGAGATTGTGCTCAGGAAGGAAGTGGTCAAGAAACTGCCCGACCCAGAGCTGGATGAGAACTACCACAAGATGCAACAGAACTTGACCGAAGAGCAGCGTAAGAACCAGGAACTTCAGGAGGAACTCCAGATCCTGAAGCAAAAGCTGGGTGTTCTAGAGCACGAGAAAAGAGAAGGGGGACAAGAGTTTGTCGTCAAAGAAGTCCTGCGGATCGAGCCAGACAAAGCCCAGGCGGAAGAAATCTTGAAGCTGAAAGAAGAACTCGAAGAGCTCAAGAGACAGGAAGGGAGCCGGCAGAACGAGATGGCCCTTCTCCGCAGCCAGATCGCTGCTCTTTCCAACGAGAAGATCAGGGATCAGGAGAGGGTGACCGAAAAGGCGATAGTGAAGATGCAAAACGATCCCCAGCTGGAGATGGACTATAAGCAGCTGCAGGAGTGTAAGCAGAGGGAGAGTATGCTGAGGCACAAGCAAGAAGAAGAGCTGCGCTTCCTCCAAGACAAGCTGAAGCGGCTGGAGAAAGAGCGGGCCATGGCTGAGGGCAAGATCACCGTGAAGGAGGTGTTGAAAATGGAGAAGGATGTAGCAACCGAAAGGGAGGTGAATGAACTGCGGCGCCAGTACGAGGAAGAGAAGGCCAAGGCCCGCTTGAATGAGAGAGAGAAAGACGAGCTGCTCAGGAAGATTCAGGCTCTGGAGGAGGAGAACGCCACGGTGATCGTCCAGGAGAAGGTACGGGAGATCATTCGCCCAGATCCCCAAGCTGAAAACGAAGTGGCCAACCTTCGCTTAGAATTGATGGAGCAGGAGAGGCGATACCTGGGTGGGGAAGAGCAGCTCCGGGCCTGCCAGAATGAGCTGATGACTCTGAAGAGCAGAGGGCCTCGGGTGGAAGTCCAAGAGATCATCAAAGAGGTCATTAAGTACAAAACAGACGCGGAAACGGAAATGGAGATGCAGCGGCTCAGGGACGAGATTGTAGAAAGGACCAGAGCCATTGAGAGAGCAGATCTGGAGATCTATAAGTTGAAGCAAGAAATCGAGATCCTGAAGGAAGCCAAGCCTCACATCCAAGTAAAGGAGGTCCTTCAAGAGATCTTGCAGTACCGGGAAGACCGCCAGACAAAAGAAGAAGTCGAGTCCCTGCGAGCTCAGTTGGTTGAGGAGCAGAAGAAGCACATGGACTTGGAGAGGGAGAAGAAGGAACAGGAGGAGATTATCAGGCAGAAGGAGGAAGAGCTCTCCCAGGTGAGGGAAAAAGTGGTTCAGCAGGAAGTGGTGAAGCTGGAGCAAGACCCTACCTTAAAATCGGAGATCAACACCTTCTCACAGAACATTGAAAATGAGCTGCAGCAAATAGACTCGCTCCGGACCGAGATGCGCAAGCTGCAGAGGAGACGGTCACATCTGGAACGCCAGCTGGAAGATCTGGAGAAAGAAAGAAAGGCCCGCAGGGAGGCCGAACTGGAGGTGCAGAGGCTGAAGATCAGACTGAGCGAGTTGGAGGAACAAGAGAAGGACACGGCAGAAAAAGTCACCGTGAGGCAAAAGGTGATTCTTCAACAGGATCCTCAGCAGGAGAAAGAACACAGTCTACTTAAGTTGGAGCTGGAAGAGGAGAAACACAAGAAGCAAGTGCTACAAACAGAACTGGAAGCCCTGCGGAAGAAACTGCAGGCGCTGGAGAAGATGGAGGTCAAGGAAAAAGTGGTCTTTTCAGAGAGCGTCCAGGTGGAGAAGGGAGACACCGAGTATGAGATTCAGAAGCTGAAGAACAGCCTAGACGAGGAAAGCCGACGGAAAGTGCAACTGGATTCCGATATTTATAGGTTGGAGGCCAAGCTTTCCGAAATGGAATTTAGCAATTCCAAATCTTCCAAGGAGTTGGACTTTTTGAGAGAGGAGAACCACAAGCTCCACATAGAAAAGCAGAACCTCCTTCTGGAGATGAGGAGTTTGCAGTCGGAAATCGAGCTCACGGCGATGGAAGCCCAGGATTTGAAGAGCATGGCCCAGGAAGACCGACGTATCAATCTCGATTCGAGGTTCCACAATCTGGAGAAAGAACTGGAAGATCTGAAAAGGCTATCTCAGGAAAAAGACGAGGAGATCGAGCAGCTTCAGAACCGCCTCCAGACCGTTGCTATCAAGAGGGAGCAGCGAGAAAACCACCTGAGGCGCTCGATTGTGGTCATTGACCCGGACACTGGGAAGGAGATGACTCCAGAAGAAGCCCATCGTTATGGCCTTATTGAATGGAGTTTATATGTCAAGTTGAAAAGCCAAGAATGCGATTGGGAAGAGATCACGGTGAAAGGGCCCAGTGGTGAATCTTCGGTCATCTTGGATAGAAAGTCAGGGAGGAAATTCTCAATTGAAGACGCCTTGAAGCGTGGAAGATTAACGATGGCTCAATATCAAAGTTACCTCAACAAGGAGATGTCTATTCAGGAGCTGGCTATTTTGGTATCTGGACAAAAATAACCGCTTCCCTCTCAACTTACCTAAGCAAAACTATTTTTAAGCTGATCCAGAGCTTTGTCTTGTTACAAATCCAGAACTTTTTACTATTTAATGCTTCCCTCAGATCTATCTGCCAAAGCCTTCTGTGCCTTTATTCAACATTTGGGTGCTCCTTAACTTTAGGTCACATACATCAATGTTGCCCAAATTGGAAGATTCTGCTCCTGCATTTTATCAAGTTGCTCTTCTCCAAATTATGACGGACTGTTTTCTGGCAGAGAAGTAGCATTTATCCAGTCTGGATGATCAAACCACGTATTTTGGAGTTCGGCATCTCAGATTCCGTCGACTATAAAATCCTGTGAAATGACTTCGGTGTCAAACTGAAACCTGGGCACGTCCCATCGCCATAAATTCAGAATTAGATGGCCTTGAGTGAATGCTCTTTCCTTTTTCCTTCCTGCAGCATGGAGAGGACGCTATCTTACCTTCTGGAATTATTTTAAAAGTTAATGCAGTGTATGGGAAACTCTTAAGCACTTTCAAGCATTACCTGAAACCTTATTAAAACTGCATCAACTGGTCTTTTTCTGCTGGAGAATACTTCAAAGTTTAGGAAGTTATCCAAAGAAAGAGCAGGTGGGTGGTAGGTGGGCAGCAGATGCTTAATAATCTTTCATTGAAATGGGCAAATAAAACTTGGTTGAATGTAATGGACTGGCATTAAAACTCAGTATGAGAGATTTGCAAGAATGATACAATCGTACCACGATACAACTAGCATTTTGTCATGCTGGATCTTGACTTTATAAAAAGGTTACCTACATGATACAGGAGCGGTCAAATTTTAAGGCAATAAAGATGTATGTATATGCCTGTTTGATGATGGTGTTTATCCTGTAGATCAGATAATGTAGAGGTTTCTAATTCTTTAAGACAGGGGGGAGATTAACAGAAAACTAATACCAATTCCAAGTGCCTTTATTTTTCCCTAAGTCTCATTTATAAGATGCATGCACTGTTTTGCTGACTTATATTTGACTGTATGTATTCAAGTTATTTGTTGGAGAAGGGAAATGGGAAAAGTTATTTATACTCCTCAGTTATTATAATAAAGAAATGATCTAAGTTAATGGTTCTTTAAATCTTTTGCCTTTCTGTCAATAAATGAACATTATAGGCACTGAATTCATACACTTGTATACAAAGAGACACAGAAGATGGAATTGGGCATGGCTAGTGTAGGGAAAAGAAAGACTAGGGGTGACATGTAGCAATGTTCCAATATTTGAGGGGATGGCACAAAGAAAAGGGGGTCTCAGAACTGAAGAAGCTGCTTGGGTGACAAGCGAAACGTTTTCAAAGGGGAAAAAAAAGCAAGAAAATCCAACTGTCTTTTGGAAAAGCGCCAAACTTTTGAGACAACCATGACTTGGTTGTTTGAGAATCTCCATAAATACCTAGAGCTTTGTATTTCGCAACTTTGGTACCTGCCAGAATTTAATCTTCTAACTCCCAGGATTTACAGCAAAGACCTTGCTGACTGGGAAATTCTGGGAGTTGAGATGCATCTATCCATCCATCCACCTAAGCTGCCCACACATGCTTGAATGTATCTCCCACCATCCATCCATCCATCCATCCATCCATTCCCTAAGCTGGAGAAAGCTAAAAGCTATCAGGATGGTAGATGGCAGCTTCTAGGACCTTAGATCTGACATCTCATCCATCTTTCAGCGACCAATGTCAAGGAGCTTTGCATCTAATTTCAGGTGGCTCCGCCTTTCAGCGGCCCTTCCCTTCCCCCAACCCTCCTTTCGGAGTCAATGAAAAATATTCTGGAAAAAAAAAAAAGCAATTTTATTCAGTTGCAGTATACAAGATTAATCATTTTCCGTGTCACCTCCATCCTCCTTATTTCCTAGAAAGGCTGCCGTTTCCCCAGCCAACACCCCCCTCCCACAATCCCATTTTCTCCCAAACACACAAAAATAAATCGCAGCTCTTTCCGCACCTAAAAAGAGGCTGCTTTTTAAAATTTTTAAGTGCCATCTGGTGGTGCTTATGCCCACCGTAAACAAAAACCTCCCCCCAACAGTCAAAGCCAAAGCAGAGACCCGCCTGGGCGAGCAGCGGCCAGTTGCTACCCAGCCACTGCCGTCCCCCAACCCAACCCAACGCCTGTCGGCCGGCTCTCCCACCGCTCTTTGATCTTGTCCTGCCATGGCTTGCTTTTTAAATTCTACTTCTTAAAACACAAGGGGGAGGCGAGGGGAGGGAGGAAAGCAGGAGGGGGGGAAGAGATTGGGCGGAACTTCCACCACGTAATATTTCCCTGAGGCAAGAGGCTTTGTGAACATTTCCTATTATTATTATTATTATTTTAAATAGATAAGGGGGGTTCTGCTCCAGCTACGGCAGGCACCAGTAGCAACCAAAGCTTTGGGGGAGAAGAGTAAGGAGTAGGTGGGGGAGGGATAATGGCTCATGCAAGGCCCAAATCCTGCCAAGTGCCGAACGCTTGTTCCTATGACCGATAAAAGCAGCTTTTGGAGAGGTAATTAATACAGAGTAGGACTGGAGCTCTGAGGAAACTCAACAAACCCACCAAAATCCACGTTCTTAAAAAGAAAAAGAAAAAGAGAAAAACGTGTTTCCAAAAACAAAAAACGGGCGTCTTGAATATGCAGTCTTTGGCTCTTCTTCTGCAACTTTTTATAAACAGAAATAACTCTGGCCAACGAGGCCAAAATTAACTGTTGGGGAAATGGAAAAGTCAAAAAAGAAATGCAAAAGGCTTGAAACAATTTTGCACAGGTTAACCGAGAATCCTAAAACATTTCCAAGGAAAGATGGGGTTGTCTCGAGTCAAACAGAACTCGCTGTGTGTGTGTGTTTTAAAAGGGGTTCTAATTGATGAATCAAGTGCTTTCTCTGTCTGAGTGGAAGAATCAGTAAACTGGGGTTAAAAGATGGAAGAAGAGGCTGCGAGAAACAATTTGTGCTGGCCGCAAATAGACCTCAAGTTGGGCTGACTAGTTTTCAAGTTGAGTTTGGGAGTTTGCAAGGAAACCTCCTCCCCGCCTTGCAGTTCTGGCTGAAGAGTAGCAACTAACCGCCCTGATAGTTTAATGTTCCTTGCAATGTGTGCGCTCAAACATGTTTTTGCTCCAAACAAAAAAAATGGGATTATTGATGCCAGAACTGTTAAGCTACTCATCTCCTCCTGCAAGGCATTTGTTTCTCTAGAATGGACAGCAGATTAGAGAATCGAACGACAAGCCCAGCCAAATCCAAAATTTAGATAATGAGCTTTACTCCAAAGTAACCTCCAGACCAGATCATCATCATCATCATCTAAATATCTCATAATCTCTTGCGGGACGGAGTCTGAGCAACTGAATGGAGCAAGCAGAGTGTTTGAATGGCCGGATGCCCTTCCTGTTGCCAATACGGAGTTTTGTTCGGCAGACAAATTCTCCCGTGTGCCCAGAGAGAGAAATACCTGCCTCTACCTAGGATGGAACTCAAAGCCTCCTGAAGGTGAGGCGAGAGCTCCACCTCGAGGCTAGCGCACCACTCCTTAGCTGCGGACCAGATGCCGGGGTCAAAATTAGGGAGAATTTGCCCCGAACCTTTAGCACAGCAGCCAAGCATAACCAAGACAGAGCAAAGGGTAGCCCTGGTTGGCTTTCAAAAGATCCCCGGCCAGTTAAAAGAGTTGCAACTAAGCAGCTTAAAAAAAGAAGGGGTGAGGGGGGGGGAGAAATAGTCTACTTAGTAAATTAAGTCCCGAAGTAAAACGGAATCTCGGCGTCTCCCGTCCGTCCAGAGCATAAGGGGAGCTCTTCCAGGCACAAATAGGCAACTCCATGTGCGCCCTATGTGCTCCCACATCAGATCACTGGATGCGTAAAATGTGCCAGATCTCACAGCAAAGCAGGAAGTTCCTGCCTGGACTCTTTATTTGCACAATGCTCGAGAGAACTTGGGCAAGAGAACGGGCAGCTTTCCAAGAAAGGCCCACCCCACGGATCAGCGTGGCATTCACCGGCGAGCGCAGTTAAAATGGGGACGAGGGTGGCCCGCCCACCCACCCTAGACCTCCAAAGTTCCCTTAAATACATCCCGATGCGTCTTAAATAACAGGGAGGGGTGTTTTAAAAAAGGAGAACGTTAAAAAGAGGCTCAACCAAAAAACAAAAAAACAAAAAAGAGCTTGGGATAGCTTGCATTCTGGCTCCACCATCAAAAGGCACTGAAATGACAGCTTCGTTATACGCGTTGACCCATGGGAGTGGGTGGGTGGGTGGGTGGGTAAGAAGGGGGCTTAGTCCCATCCGATGTCTTCAGTGGAGAGAAGGGGGAGGAGAGCTGGGCGTATTTTGGGGGGCAGGGAAAAGAGAACTGCCAAAAGACACCCCCCCCCCATCGGTGTTCGAGGTCCACGGGTGCATCTTAAGGCCTCCCGAGTCTTCACTTCCTTGTGAGAGGACCAGTGAGCTGCCACGGAGAAAGGAAAGATCTTCCAGAAAAGGGTCAGCAAAGCTTTAGGAAAGGTGCCTTCGGGGAGGAGAGACGACCCTTGCGCCCCCCCCGACCCGCCCCCCCAAACGGATTCACTTGGGGCTGAGCTTCGATTAGCCAGTCCATCCACGAGCAGAAGCGAGGGCCTCGACCGACTCCCGCTGCAGAATTAAGAGGCGCCTGGCAGGAACACGCGGGGACCTGCTTAAAGGATCTCACCTCCCCCTGACCCGGACTGATCTGGAGGAACTTGGAAGTGAGAGTTGGGCCTGAGAAACGCTTCCTTTCTCAGCACGCGGCTCAGACACTCCCCCCCCCCACCGCCACCCAGGGAAGAATCTAGTCCAAACTGGGACAAGGGGAAGTGTGGGAACCTACAGATGGATGCCACTGAAGGAGGAAAAGCGAGGAAGCAACGGGAGAGCTCCCTTGCTGCATTCTGCAGGCTTTTTTTTTTCTTTCCCTCCCAGAGGTGGTTGTGTCCTTTTTATTTTCCTTTTCCTTTTTCTCAGAACTGTCACAATTTCCGTGGTTGTACATTGGGCCCTTTGCTGTGTAGCTGAGAACTATCTGAAAGAGACACAAAAAGAAAGGTCATGAACATACATGGCGGTGAAGCGCCAAAGCCTTCGTTATTAAAAGATATCTCGGTCACAGTTTCGACTTCTTTCAAGGATATAGATCCGCAGGGCAGGAAGGAATTATTATGTCCAGCCAAAAAAAGTGTTCTGCATTGGAGGGAAAAAAAATAATACCTAGGAACAGAATTCACGGTAGGTGAATGGTTTTGTCATACTCTAGACATCTTTTATTATGTTATTAAATTGAAAAGCACATTTGATTATGTAGCTGGTACCATACTAGAGGCAGGGGGGCAGGGAGAAAAAGATCATTTATTTATTTATAAACTCTTATCTCCCACAATATGGAGAATGGATTACATTGGGGAAATCAGGCAGGAGACTTCAGTGGCAGGTTGACTGGTTGAATAAATACATTTTTTAGATTAATAAAGGAGAATATTTGTAGCTCAGGGTTGAACTGTGAGGTCCTTTGGTGCTCTCTGAACTTGGTTGTTTTCTTGCAGACATTTCATTACCCAACTAGGCAAAAAAATCGGTGCTAGTAACTAGCGTTTCATTATCCAAACTAGATAACATGACGAACACTGATTATGTTACCTAGTTTGAGTAATGACGTCTGCAAGAAAACAACCAGGCTTAAAGAGCACCAAAGGCTCCATATTTTCAGAATGTCCAATTCCAGAATAATTCTGGGTGGCTTCATAAATTAAACAACTTTATATAAAAATAACCACGGGATAATACAGTTGATCACATCAGCAACAAACTCAGAAGAGGGCCAACTAACCCACCCACCTGCACAAATAATAATTATTCTAATAACAACAAAAAAAGACTTTACCACAAACAAAAAACTAACACAACCAGGCCTGAGGGCCACTTCCATGTTTTACGAGGAAAAACTTAATATTGCAGAAGTTGTGTCATCTTGTTACTAGGCAGCGGTGCAAGTAAACATCCTCCCTACCTTAACCACTACAGCTTCTTATTTCAGTTCAATGACAGCTGGATAAAATCATAAAAAAGGAGGGCAGGACTCGGGGAGTGAAGAGGTCTTTAAAGACATTCCTGGAATTCATCAACACAAAAGGGTTGTTTTGGGGCTTAGGATATGTGCAGATAAAGGCAATAAGAATTGTCCTCTTTAGACTGCCTTTAAACAGTATTTAACATGCTGTGTTTTGATTTATGGCATGCCTTCCCTGTCTTTCTAAAATCTAAAATCACTACAGATCAGTGGCGCTGCAGTTATTATAACGTCCTTTCTCCTAGATTCAGTCTCTCTCTGAAACCTTGTGATTCTCAGCCTTTTTTTGTAGACAATATTGAGCTAAACAAAAGCCAACCAACTGACCTTCTAACCCAAATAGCTAAAAACATAAAGCACAACGGTACATTTAACAACACGAACAAATCAGCGCCAAATCTGCAATTGCAGCAAACTGCAGCTAGTCCTCGACTTACGACAGTTCATTTATAGTAACCATTCAAAGTCACAACTTTGTAAACTTCTGAGTATGTACGGAGGCAAATAATCAAGTCAGGATTTAATGATGTTAATTAAAGCACCCTCTTGCATCTCCAAGGTCAGAAAGGGATGGGAGAATGTGGAATCAAAATTTCCGCTACCGGTTCTCCAGAACTGGTCAGAACCTGCTGAATTCCACCTCTGATGCAGACCTTCCTCATTTATTAGCAGGAAGTTTCACATCAATTCCCAATGGCCAAATGGGCCTCTGAAAGCCCAGACATGGCAAGACATATAAATGTTCACCCCAAAAAGGCTTTGAACTGCCATGTCAGCAAAGGACAACCCTGAATAGGATTCCCACCTCACACCGGCATCTACAGAGATTCCACACATAATTGGGGAGTAGCGTCCTCCCCTAAGCGGGACTGCAGGCTCCCCTGTCAAACTGTAGACTTTATAGTGACTGGCTGTTAAGCTGAGAGCATATATCACTCCAGTATCTGATTATTATTATTATTATTATTTTGTTTAATATAAGCGATGTTGTGCTTCCATGGTTAGATGGCCTGGACCAATGAGTTCTCAACCTTTTCTTCACCACTTTTGTGGCCACGGACCCCCAAGACTTAACTTAAGATTTAAATTAGAACCTTTCTTCCAAGCCTTCATAAACCCCGTGATGACATTGTGCCCCCCCCCGGGGTCTGAGGGCCACAGTTGAGAACCACTGGCCTAGTTGAACCCAGATCTTTTTTGGGGGTTCTACTAATCGAGATGACATGTTAATATACAGTACACAGCTAGTCCTTGTACAATGTGAAGGATAAAAATAAAGGTTCCCCTCACGCATACGGCTAGTCGTTTCCAGCTCTAGGGGGTAGTGCTCATCTCCATTACAAGGCCGAAGACGTCTCCGTGGTCATGTGGCCGGCATGACTAAATGCCGAAGGTGCACGGAACGCTGTGACCTTCCCACGCAAGGTGGTGCCTATTTTCTACTTGCATTTTACGTGCTTTTGAACTGCTAGGTTGGCAGAAGCTGGGAGAAGTAACGGGAGCTCGCTCTGTTATGTGGCGCTAGGGTTTCGAACCGCTGAACTGCCGACCATTCTGATCGACAAGCTCAGTGTCTTAGCCACGGAGCCACCGTGACCCTTACAATGTACAATGGGCCATATGCTAAATAAGTAATAATTCGTGATGGGCAGGCAAAGCTGGCAAGCCGTCCCAGGAGGTGCCTGTTGAGTGACTCAGAACCGCACAAAACCAAACAAGAGCAACGGAGGAGTTACCTGGCAAACTGTGGGATAAATGGGCAGGCGGCGCTGCCTGATGGAGGCTGGTGGACAACCCAGCCAGAAGACCTAGAAAGGAGAGGGGGATTGAGGAGGAGGAGGGGGGAGGAAGAGAAACAAATGTACATTGAAGACAAATGAGTCGAAGATGGTCTATGGATGGGTTCAGGTGAAAAAAAGGACCCAACCTCCGCCCTCCAACCTTTGCCAAAAACTTCTCCAGCAAACCTCTTTATCTCGTATCTGGTTGGCTGCTCAGCAAGTTCAACCGGTAAAGATTAAAAAAAACCAGAAATGTTTGGCTGACGCGCCCACGAGTTTGGAGGTGGCAGCTGAACACACATAAACCAGACGCTCTGAAAAAGCAACCTACCTGAAGGGGCGCAGGGCATTGGATGGGGTAAAATGCCAGCAACGATTCCCTTCCCACAGGTCAAGTCATCGCTTGAAAGGGCGGTTCTCAAGGAATGAGCTAGCAGGGGCAGCCTGGACTGTCTCCCTGCCAGAGCCAAAACGTTAATTCTCTGCTCCCATCTCCACAGTTTTAGTTCAAATAATTACATACCGCTAACATATTCCAGCTACAGCGCCCGGCGACAACAAAGGACAGCGAGTAGAGCTATTGCAATTTAACACGACAAAAGCAGAGCCAGAAGAAGGGAACAGCGACCAAATAACACACCACAGATGACGCTCAAGGTCATGTAATGCCCGGGGAAACCAGGGGTAGCTACTGCAAAGCCCATCATCCAGCACCAACAGCACAGAACAGGAGGCAAGAATTTCAGCAGGGGGGTCTCCTATTTGGGAAATATTTTTATCTCTCGGGGGTCTGCATCTATTTTAAGGGGTATAGATCGCCAACAAATACTTCCAAGGACACGGTTACATTCCTAAGGGGCTGGTTACCCTTCCAGAAACATAGGGGAGGGGGCTTGCTGCCCAAAGAGACAAAACAGACTTGCCAATAAAGGAGAATATTTGTAGCTCAGGGTTAAAATGAGAGGCCCTTGGTGCTTTTCTGAGCTTGGCTGTTTCCTTGCAGATTTTTTTTTTTTTTAAATAGGTAACCTCATCGATGTTAGCGATGCAAAAAACCTGGGCGCTAGCTTGCGTCTCTTAGAAAGCATGTTAACTCCAACCTATCGGAATTTTTTGAATCCTTTTTGAGGTCCATCTGGGAAAAGCCCCTTCACAGCCGCTTAACCGAAAGCTGAAAAACGGGGATAGCACCAGCAATAAGCACTTCAGAATTATATGCCGCTTCACCGTGCTTTGCAGCCTTCTCTAAGCATTTTACAGCTTCGGCCTCTTGTCCCCCAACAATCTGGGTCCTCATTTTACCGACCTCAGAAGGATGGAGAGCCGAGCCAACCTTCAGCCAGTCAGGAATCGAACTCTTAGCAGGGAGCAGGCAGTCAGCCTGCCATGCTGCGTTCTAACCCCTGCGCCGCCACGGCTCAGTAGGCCCACGCTTTGCATTCGTAGGTGTGCCAGACCAGGACTTTTGACCTTGCACCCTTCCCATGCTGTGTCAGTGGATGAAAGGAAGGGGGAAGGAGGCTTGGGGGGAATCCATGTACATGAGAAGACATTCCAGGATGGATTGTCCCAACCGAAGGAGAGCTTTTAGAAGAGGTCGGGACCCAGGCCCAGAATTGTTGAGATGCAAAAAGCAGAGCGAAGACAGTGGCAATGACAAGACATAAACATGAGCGAGATAGGAAGGGATCTTCGTAACTCATCGGAGGACAAGTTCATGGAGATGAGTCTATTTTTTTAAAAAAAGATCCCTTTGGGTGGGAAACAGCACGCGTGCATGTAGAAGCATGGGGAGCACATTATCTGCAGCAATGCTTACAGGCTCCCACCCCCAGTGCCTGAGCCCCTCCCGCTTTCCCAACCAGCACTTACTATGGCCAACACCGTGATGGAATGTTCCTGGGGTCGGGCCGGTGACTACCACATCCTTTGAAACCCCAGCCTTGGACGAAGAGTCAGAGCTGTAGGAAATCACGTGCAGAGGGAAGGAATGGATCGGCGAGATAATCCCCAGCGGAGTAGAGCTCAGTGCAGTGGGCAGCTTTGGGCTGTTGGACTTGTAGGAAGGAGACAGGACGTTCAAGGAAGACGAACTGGTCAGCAAGACCGCTCCACCGGTTCCTTTCTGCGAGGCGGGGAGGGGAGGGGAAAGGACGGGTGAGGAAAACACCAGTCAGAGCAGAAGAGCAACGGTCAGTGGGCGCATCATTTTACAAAGAAGAGGCCTCTGCCTTCTTCGCCCACTTCCCCAAATTAGGGAGCAGTTGACAAGCACAATTTGAAACGAACATTGGCATTCGCAGAGTCTTTTATAGTAACAGAAGTACTTGGCTTAGAACCGCTAATCCATTGTTTTCCGGTAGGGAAGTAACTTTTGAGGCATTCAACACAATCTGTATGTAGGCTTGTGATAAAGAGTTTTGGTTTTTTAAGATTTTTTTAAAAAAACCTGTTTGGCAATCTATTTAAAGGGTATCAGCTGTTCCCATACCTGTGTGCACTGTGTTCAGAAATGAAGAAGTGAACTGAAGAAGCTTCCTGGATGAGAAGCAAAATGTTTTTAAGGGAAAAAACCCAAGAAAGTCCAGTTGCCTTTTGGCAAAGCACCTTAGGGACAACGATGATTGAGGATCCCGGTAGACATCACGAAATGGAGTTCCCCCCCCCCCCCATTTTTAGTGACTGCAATTAAGGTCACTCTAAATATATGGCTCTTTCATTTATAGATGGCACTGACAGATTACCAGTTAGCACAAAGATCAACATGTCTATGGAGATTCTCAATCATCCAGGTCACAGCTGTCCCAGAGGTGCTTTTCCAAAAGGCAACTAGACTTTCGTGGGGTTTTTTTATCCCTTGAAAAAGTTTCGCTTCTCATCCAAGAAGCTTCTTCAGTTCAGTTCACTTCTTTGCTTCAGAACTGAGGAAGCTTTTTGGATGAGAAGCAAGATGTTTTCAAGGAAAAGAACCAAGAAAGTCCAGTTGTCCTTTGGCAAAGCACCTTTGGGGCACAAGGGTCAACATGTTGCCCGTGGACTCCCCAAATCAAATAAAATGGGGTGGGCAGCTGGTTTTTTTTTTTATTTTTAAACAACTGGCCAGAAATCTGAAAGGTCACCAAGCCTTGCCTCGTTTCAGGCATTCGGGCAGGTGGTTTCCTAAGCTGGGTTCAAGGACATTTGGGCACAACTCAATTCTTCTAGCTTGCAAGTTTTAGATGGCCTCAAAAAAATGAAAGGAAGGGGTAAGGAAGACGAAAGTGCACAATGGTATCTGAAACAGCTGCACCTGATCTGGATGGTGCCGATTTGCACTTCTGAACTGCAGCCAAACTCGTGGACGTTCTTAGGAGCCACTCACCGGCCCAGAGGTAGAGGGTGTGGCGCTGCTAACCACGGCAGGTTTCAGGGAAGATGTCAGCAACTTGGCTACTCCTTGCGTTCCTCCGCTGGAGCTGACGTTGGGACCTCCCGGCGGAGCCACCAAAGTCAGCTTTTGAGGGACGAGGGTCTTCTTCACCATGGAACTGGGCGAGGAGCGACTGGCAGCCTGCCCAGCAGAAGGGACCGAGGCGCCTGGCAGGATGTTGCTCGTCGGGGAGCTCTGAGTCGAGGAAATGGCAGACGACACACTTCCGGCAGAAGCCACGTGCCTGGACAGGGCCACGAAGGGCGACTTGAACGCTTGCCCGGAGGAACTCGGGGTGCTGGGGTGCTTCCCGGCGTAACTCAGAGACACCAAAGAATTGGGGGTCTTGGGAGAGATGGTGGTGGAGGAGGAGGAGGAGGAGGAAGAGGAAGGAGAGGAGGAAGAATGGAAGGTGGGAACCTTGGCGGGGGTCTTGACCTGCGGCTGGAGGAGAGGGCGCTGAGACAGCGGGGAGACCATCTTGGGGCTCTGCAGCTTGACGAAAGGTGGGGAAGGGGGGAAGGTTTTCTGCTGCTGGGCCACCAGAGGGAACACTTTTACTTGGGGGGCCTGCACTGGGGTTGAGGGCGGAGGGCCCTGCTGCAGCACACGGGGCAGGCTGTGGTGTTTCGGCTTGGCCTGGTGCGCATCCAGGTGCTTGGAAGGAGGACTCTGGCAAGGCAGTTCCTTGTAGGTGGGGGCCTCCATTTTTTTCTCTGGAGGAGGCTGGCCTAGCGCCAAGGCCTGCTCGGCCAAGAAGTTAAGCGGAGACTGCACGGAGCCGCCGGCAGCTGAGTGAGCAGGGACGGGAGCCGCTTTGGGGAAGATCCTCTTCTCTTCCAAGCCGCTCTGAGTCGGGGGCTTCTCCACGGGCGTCTTCAGGGCTGGGGAGAGTGTGAAGTCGGGGCTGCTGCCTCCTGCCCGGCTGTTGAGCGCAGCCAGTTCCTTGGAGACAGCTTCCAAAGATGAAGTCGTGTGATGGATCAAGTCCTCGTCGAGAGAATCGTCCATGCTGAAAGGAGGAGGGGGTGGAAGAGGAGGAGGAGGAGGAGGAGGAGGAGGAGGAACAGCCATGGTGCTGGGGAGTGGATTTGAACTCATAGCCAACAGTTCCCGAGTTTGAGGGCTGAGGCCGACAACCACCCCCTGGGAATCTGGAGAAAGAGAAACTGCACCGCTGGAGTGGATCAACGGGACGGGAAGGGGAATCTTCTTCTCTGGTTTGCCAGAAGGATCCTAAGAAAAGCACAAGAGTTGTGTGAGAAATGTCCTTTCAAGAGGTCAATCCGAATGTCAAACGAGTTTTGTGTGATCACTTCGGGAGACATACTACTACTCTGCTAGGTGTGATGACCCCAAGGGCGTGGTACAAAGGCAACACAGTCATATAAGTAAGAAGAGTTTCTTTGAGTACTTCCAATTTTGCCCCCAATGTCCAGGTTACCTTCGGCTGGAGAAAAAAAACTCTCCCAAGAACAGTCTTTAAGGGGAGGAAATTCAGTCCCAAAACAAAGTGCATACAAACGGTAAATAAAAATCCACACAAACCACTCTGCAGTAATTAACTTGACAGGGCAGGAGAAGGAATTGCAGACTTGGAAGGCCAGCAAAACACACAACTGGGAAGGCGCCAGAACCCAGATAAGCCTTGTTGATACCAGATAATTCACAATTCGCTCCCAGCAACGTGCTGTGCTCAGTTTCCTTTTTTATACACTATATTCCTAGCTGCAGCTAATGAAGGGAATCAGGGCCCCTTCCTCCCCCGTAAGCCATGCAACTCACTTTGCTCCCTTCTCCGTTCCTCCCTACATGCCCTAGGATGAAGAAGGGGTGGGCCTGGATCTTCCTCCAAATTCCCTCTCCCTTGCTCTATCTCTCCCCTGCTCTGCCCAGCTGGCCTTTGCCCTTCCCCACTTTCTTCCACAGCCAACAGAGCCACACTCCCACTCCCCGTCAGCTGCTCGGCCTCCCACTCCGAATCAGATTTTGACAGGGGCATGACACTAGGTCTTAGAAATACATTATAGAATTACTCGATATTTTTCAGTCCCCATTTTTGTTACCGCCACACCCAAAACAACTATCTTGTTAGTTATTAGATGGCAAAATCCTTGAGGTGCGAGCTTCATTTGATTCTGGAAAGCAAAACAAGGAAATTATGCATGCAGACAAATGATCAAAGCCAGTCTGGAGACCCCCTTTCATACAAACACAGCCACACCTCCATCATTATAGCACCTCTCTGCAATCTCTCCCAGGGCTGAAAACTCTTGGAAAGTCTTACCAAATCACTCACCTTTCCCTTCACCTTTGGAGGGGCCATCACTTTTTTCTTTGTTCTGAGGGAAACACAACCAAGAGAGAGAGGTTTGCTTTATTTCCAGGGGAATGAAATGCAGGCTGATAAAACTTGCCACAGTGACTAACACGAGGACTTTCTGGTGCTTGGGGCAGGCCATAAACTGCTCAAATTGGAACACAAATCCAATTTATTTAAGTAGCTTTCTTTAAAGAAACGTGCACATATAAAATGGAACATGTCCCTGCTGAAAGTCAGTAATTAAAGTTACTTGCATTTCCAGTTAAAAGCACTTTGAGTAGGAAACCTGGGGGAAATCTGTACGTATGAGTTCTTAAGAGAATAGGAGAGAGAGGGGTTTTGAATGACAGCAACAATTAAACTTGGTAGGAAGCAAGGGAACCCCACTGTTGGAGAAGGAAGGCAGAATGTGGGGGCGGAGTTTAAAAAGGGACCAGCCTAGTATCCCTACGTAGCTACAAGCGGAACTATGTTCAGCCTCCTTTAAGTCCCATTGACCCTCCTCTAACTCCAAGTAAGTACTAAACGTTAGTTGAGAAGATTCCTGTGCACAGTCTTTTAGCAAAAGATCAGCTTAACTGTACATTCACATCAGTACATTCACGTCTTTTACTCCTGACGCCCGCTTGATATTCTGGCAATGTAAGAAATACTCACGGGATTGAAGTGAGATGACTGTGCACTTTTCTGCTCTCTTTGAACAATGTCCTGAAAAAGAAGAGAATTGAGCCAAAATTGGTTGCACCCAAAAAAGGGAATGGGCATTGAAAATAACAGGAATAAAGATTTCTAGGACAATAATTGAACCACAAAATTACAGGAATCACATTTGCTGTTAAAAAAATCATCAGTTGTAAAACAAGCCATGACAAAAAAAAGACAGAAAGCCTCTCTTTTATGTTACTGGGTTATCCTCAATAGTTTTCCCCTAATCTTGTTTTATCTGGCTGAATAAAACATCACTGGGGGTTTTTAAGAAAAAGAAATAGAATAGAAATAGATGGGATAGGATAAGATGGGATAGGACAGGACAGAGTAGAATAGCTTTATTGGCCAAGTGTGATTGGACACACAAGGAATTTGACTCCAGTTCATAGGAAGGAATTTGACTCCAGCTCTCAGTATACATACAAACAACAGAGTAACATAATCGTAATATTCCAACAGCAAAAGGTAATAGGGAAGATGAGCATGATAACAATAATACAGCCACACCTACATGGGTAAATATAGTTGGACCTAAGACAGTGCTGCGGGATTTACGTATTCAGCAGAGTGATGACATGAGAGAAAAAACTGTCCCCGTGTCTACTTGTTTTGGCATGCAATGCCCTGAAGTGGCATCCTGAAGTGAGCAGTGGAAACAGATTGTGTCCAGGAGTGGTCTGTAGATATTTTCTGAGCCCTCTTTTTGACCCGTGCAGTATACAGGTCTTCAATGGAAGGCAAGCTGGCTGCAATTGTTTTTTGCTGCAGCACTAATGATTTAAATTGGACATTCTAACTTGAGCATTCTATTTAATTCACTAAATCTAAACTAAATCTGACTAACTAAACTGGACATTCATTTGTCTGGGATGGCATAAGGTTTCTTGGACTAGAAGACCTCTAAGGTCCCTTCCAGATCTATGAGACTATTATCATTCTGAGTGACAAAGCAAACAATTAGCCTATTATAGTGCCATTCTGAAGAAACAAGCACCACAAATTCCTGCTACGACTATTAACCACGGGACAAAGGTTTCTTGGCACTTGTAGGCTCTTATTTCTGCACAGTCCCAATTTACACAAACAGTGCAAAGAGCCACTTCTCCAGGAGTTCCTAGTTACCACTCCTCTCAAAGCAAACAAGACTTTTCTGGGCCTTTCATTCACATTATTTACTCTTCCTTGGTTTAGGCTGAAGCTTCGGCCGTTCGATAGCCATCTATCACCTCTTTATGATGTAAACACAGCACTACAAACTCTATTGCAAGCCAAATTCCAGATCTGACTTTTATTAGGAACGCTGACAAAGTCTTTGGCTTTTCGTTCCTCTGATGTCTTTCATTTATTTAGTGTGTGGCACAGAGCACAGGGAAAACAGTAATAAAATTATATAGGAGGAGCATATTTACACAGTGGCACGTGCATGAATGTAATGTGTACTTTGTAAGATTTGAGGAAATTAAATAAAAAATGCACGACACCTGGTTGGATGAACCCCTACTACATCTAAGATACTTTACGGACTGATTAGATGGGAATGGAAGAGTTGGTGGCTTCTCATTTCTCTTACCTGGCCTGCATCCATCCCTTTGGCCAAAGAGGTTTGACTTCGGCGTCTAGGAATGTTTTTACATAGTCTTCCATAGACTGAGCTTTGTTCTTCTCCACGTCATACCCATCCAGTTTCATCTTCACACCTTGGCAGAGCAAATCCCTACAAGAGGAAAAATGTTTTGTCAGCCCTGAAGCTGGCCTGACTGAGGCCATTTTGAGACTTCAGCACTGACACAGTGGCAAAGAGGGACAGGAAGGGGGAATAGAGATAGTTGGGGTTTGTAGTCAAAACAAAATGCTTTCTCTTGGGAACCAAGGGCATTCCTGCAGGTGTTTGGAAGGAGGGAATTGGAGTCACCTAGCAACCGGGCAGGATCCTGATTGGACCATGTAGATTGAGTGTTTTGAGAAAGTGGAAAACTTTTACTTTTAACTGGGTGAAAATTGCAGGAATAGTCAGCGTTGATTTTCACCAGCCAGGCCAATATGACATATCCAATAAATTTATTCTTTGAGGAATCAACCCCCCTCAAGGCTTTGTTTGCTGTGGGTATGTTACTTGGAACCCTGACACATTTATCAGGTTTTCCAAAGCTATCTCCCAAACCTTACATACAGCGTCATTTAACAGAGATTGAAAAAGCTATTTTAAATAATGATTTCAAGCTGTCAGTCCAGCTTTCACAACTGGAATGTTCTCGTCTACTACCTCAAATTCCACCTCAACCTAAGGAGCAGTGACACCAACTCTATATCTTTCCCAGACTTCATTGTTCAGTACCTTGAAATGCCTGACAGAAATCTGCTTCTGGGTATTTAGCTGGCAATTGGGCAAACTTCTATGGTGGTTGAGATGTATCTCTTCTTTCCCTCTCTCAATCTGTTTATCCGGACTCTGTTTGGTCATTTGTTCATTTCCTATTGAATATCTCCCCAAAAGATGGGTTTCCAGGAGGTTGGTTGCATGCTATCTTTTTTCTATGTAAGTCACCAACTAGGCTAATGCTATGCACAATATTATGTAGATTAGCAGCAGGCCTTTTAACAGAAACCAGTTAAAAATGATACTGAACAGCCTTCAGTGAGAAATATCATAGTAAGTCTCTTGCTTTAAAATTGGACCAGGATCCAGAGTGCCAAATGACTTGGCCAAGAGACCTTTAAACCAGGCAATCCATGATTTATAACCAGAACTAGAACCAGAATCTCTGTTTGCTAAGCAAGGTGGTTGTTGGGTCACACCCAATGTTATGTTTTTTGCCACAGTTGTTAAGCGAAACATGCAGTTGTTAGGCGAATATAGAATGGAACAGATCAGACCTCCAGCCCTTGTTTATCAATGGAGACCAAGTGGAGCAAGTGGCCAGTTTTAAGTTTCTGGGTCCTCCCATAAAAGAGGACCTGACCTGGAGTGCCCACATTGCAGCCCTGGTCAAAAGGGCCCAGAAGAGATTATACTACCCGAGGCTTCTCAGGAAATAACAATTGAATGGAAAACTGCTGGTGACTTTCTACCGCTGCACCATAGAGAGTATCTTAACTTACTGCACCTGTGCCTGGTTTGCCAGTTGCACAGGGGCAGATAGGACAGCGCTCCAGAGGGTTAATGTCATTGCCCAGAGGATCATGGGTTGCCCTCTCCCCTCTTTGGAAGAGCTTTATAGCTCCCGTTGCCTTAAGAAAGTTCAAAGCATCCTCAAAGATCCATCTCATCCTGGGCATCCCCCCCCCCTTTTTTTGAACTATTACCATCTGGTAGATGGTACAGAATAATAAAAACAAGGACAAATAGGCTGGAAAACAGCTTCTATCCCAGGGGAGTAGCTCTTTTGAATTCTACTGTATAGTGCAGTGTTGGTGTGGTGTCGGGGGTTTTCAATTCAATGTGTGGCGTGTGAAGGGTGTGTGTTTGTGTTTATTTTCAAGGTCATGATGTGCCCTGAAGATGGTGTTTGATTTCGTGGTATGAGGTGCAATGACAATAAAGTAAGCTCAACTAATCTGGCATCCCTCCCACTGACTTTGCCTGTTGGAAGCCAGCTGGGATGTTCTCAAAAACGGCAATCACATGATCTCAGGGCACGGCAGCTATCAGTATACATCGGTTACTGATCATGTGACTGTGGGGAAAATGCTTCAATGGTCATAAGCGCGAGGACCGGTCAAAAGTCCCTTATTTCAGTGCTGTTGGTCAAGGACTACCTGCGCCAACCGTGAGCACGGGAAAGCAAAAACGCGCACATTCCCAGTGGGAGGGCGACCATGTTCTCCCCAAACTCAGAACAGGGTTTTAAAATCCAGACGTTTTCCAGAAAACCTGATTTCGTCATTCCAGTGAAACTTCTTCCGAGGTCCCATGATCCTCTTTCCTCCTTTATCATCATCATCCTCGTCCTCTGAACAAATCCGGTCTCTTTGCTCCTTGTCCTTCTCCTCTTCCAGCATCCTGAGAGAAGGAAAATGATAACTGAGGCGCTAGGCCCTTCTCCCCAAAAATATTCTGCCTGCCTAGGACCAGTCTATAAGAAGAAGACACCCCGAGAGTTCTCAGCAGTCATGACTCAAGAATTGCAGGGAAGGGGGACTGGAGAGATAACAAAAACAAACGAAACACATACTTGGCAAACTTGGCCTGGGTGTGGGCTTGGCATTCTTCCTGGTACTTGGCCATCTGCTCCGGCATTGCTCTGCCAATCGCCTCTTTCAGCTTCTGCAGTGGTTCCTTCAGCCGACCCCCCTAAGAAAACACCAGGAGTTAGCGATCTATCGCCCGTTTGCTCCGTTTAGGCAACTGCGTACCCACAATCAGGCAGTGGTTTTATTTAAAGATGGAGGAAAGCACAACGGTGGGCTATCAGGCACATAAGAACAGCATTGCTAAAAAAGCACGAAGAGGAGTTAACTTAATCCCACTAGGTTTCTTTTCTGGAAGCGTTGTATTGCTAACCAAAGCTTATAAAACTTATGCTAGACTGATCTTGGAGTATTGTTCAACGGTTCGGAATCCCCACCATATATCTGACATCAGTACAATCGAGCGGGTTCAGGAGTTATTTCGGGAGAAAACTCTTGCATTCGTCTGTACACAGTAGAATTCCCTACGCTGCTAAGCTTGAAATTCTTGGTTTGGATAACCTGGAACTGCTTCGCTTGCGGTCAAACTGAGGTGTTGCATGCAAAAATGCATTACCTGTAAATGACTTTTTCTGTTTTAATTGCAATAATACGTGCGCAAACAACCGTTTTAAACTCAATGCAAACTGTTCTAAACTTGACTGTAAAAAAATACGATTTCTGTAATAGGGTTGTCAAAGTCTGGAATGCTCTACCTAATGCAGTTGTCTCAGGTACACAGTTTCAGTTTTAGTCACAAATTGACTTCTGTGGACCTCACTTCATATTTAAGAGGTCTGTAAAGGGGGCATGCATAAGTGCACTAATGTGCCTATTCTCCCTGTCATTTTAGTTTTATATTATTTTTGTTTTTGTTTGACAAATGATAGATAAAATAGATTACATAAAAGATAGATATTAGATAGATAGACCATAGATAGATAGATCATAGATAGATAGATCTTAGATAAAATAGATTACATAAAAGATAGATATTAGATAGACAGATAGATAGATCATAGATAGATAGACAGAGAGACAGACAAGATAAGATAGCCTGCTTGTTAAATGGGCTCCAGTCATTTATTTTCAGGAGACAAGGAGCTGGACGTGTTTAGGTATGACTCAAACGTCATGGAACCCTCTTCCTAAAGGCTCAGCTTTCTCTTCATGACATTTCCAGAGAGGCAATAAAAGGCCATTGTTCTTCCTGCAGTTACTGGGTTCACCATAAGTCTCCTTTCATCCCTTGTAATCTGGGACACTTTTACCTGGCGGCATTGGCCCGTCTGTTTTTTTTTTTTTTAAGATTCTTTCCTTTGTGAGAGATGATGGATCTTAGCCTCGTTGAAAAAGTGGCACCCAAATGCTGCAAATAAGCGCAGCTTCCTTTCCTCAGCCAAGATTCTCCCCCAAATGTTAAAAAAAAGGAAGCTGGTCTGGTCTTTGGGGCTATATGTCACAGGACACTTTTTCACTCTTTTTCCAAGTGTGCTTTCCACTCTACTTCCCTCACCTAGTAAACTCTAAGGAAAAGGCCAGACTGCTCCTGCCAGAAGCCTGAAGCGACCAATTGCAAAGCCTTCCCAACCCAATGGAGGAAGGAGAATTATGCCCATCTCTGTCCAATGGCTCACTGGCCAGCAGCTGTCTCCCCCACCCTCACTCACCTGTTCATACACATAAAGTCGCCGGGCCCGCTTGACCAGGGTATCTTTGTTGCAAGGCAAAAAGGAGGCCAGATGCGCATAGACCCCTGATCGCATTTGGCTGTTCAGCTCCCGGGTTTGCAGCTCTATACTGAGGGCAGAAGAGGAAGAATTATTTAGCTCCGGTCCAGCCAGGTTCCCTAAGGGCCACCTGATTAGTAAACATGCCACCTGATTAAAACAATACCAGTTACTCTGAAACCCACGGAACAAGGGAATTACACCTCTCCCAAATAACATTTAAGGATGTTTCACCACTGGCCTCAAAGTAAAATATAATTTCTCCCCCGCAAGTAAAATAACCAATGCCACTGGAAATGTCCCTTTCCTTGTATCCCCCCCGCCATTATGCAATGGGGCTGTTAAATTTCCCCAAATTGTTCTGCTTCTAAGATCACCTTGCCAGGGGTGGCTCAAAGAGCTTATTTTTTTTGTTTTTGTTTTAATCTTTCAGGTGATGGACCCTGCCACATATTTGATGGCGACGCTGGAATCATTCTCTAATAAACTGCTGATCCAAAACATCAGCTGACTCCTGCCTGGTGGCTGACAAACTGGCACGCTTTTGCACCCAACATGAGAAAAGGCAGTCAGAATAGCCAGTTGCTGGCTAGTTCACAGTATTCCTGCCCTGTTTTATTTGGGGGACCTCTACATACATACTTAGTATGAAGTCTCCTTTCTGGACTCATTTCAGACACTACAGGCGGTTATCGATTTTATCACCCATAATGGAGCATAGCCATTGCAGTTGTTAAGTCATGACAGTTGTGAAGTGGGCTATTTATTGTGTGACTGGGCCCATTGTAATCTGGTCATTAAGTGAACAGGATGGTCATAAACTAAACCCATTGTTTGTTATGGGCCCGGTTTTGCCATCAACGGGAAATAAGCACTGGTTTCTTGCAAAAACATTGCAAACTGCAGTCATAAGGTGTGTGTGTGCTTGGTAGCAATTAAGGCACCAGGCTAGAAAAGAGGAAACGGTGAGTTCAAAACCTGTCTCAAGGCATGATAGCCAGCTGGGTAATCCTGGGCCAATCGCCCTCTCTCAGCACAACCCACCTCACAGGGTTGTTGTGGGGAAAACAGGAGGAGGAAAGAATATGAAGTGTTTTGCTGCCTTGAGCTATTTATAAAAATAAAAAAGGCCGGGTAGAATCAGATAAACCAAAAGCAAACCAAACAGCTGCAAATGCAGGCCAGTAGCCCAGGGCCCCAACTGAGGTCATTTTAAGTGACCGGTCACTAAAAACGGATGTCACAAAAATCAGCTGGGACAGGATGGTGTTCATTCTCCACACTTGTAGCTTGTTGGGAGCATATCGGTACCAATCTGCATGTTGCGGAGAACTTCTCACTCAATTGATCAGAATAGAGCTGGAAGGGACCTTGGAGGTCTTCTAGTCCATCCTCCTGCTCGACCAGGGGACCCTATACCATTTCAGATAAATGATTCTCTTCTTAAAACCCCCCAGCGATGGAGCATCTACAACTTCTGGAGGCAAATTGCTTCACTGGTTAATTGTTCTCACTGTCAAAAAAAATTCTCCCCTTAATTCCAGGTTGCTTCTCTCCTCGATTAGTTTTTCCCCGTCGCTTCCGTCCCCTCTGGAAAATAAGGTGTCCCCCCCCCCTCTTTGTGGCAACCTCTCAAATACGGGGCTACTGCTAGGGTGTCCTCCCCAGTCCTTCTTTTCCCTAGACTAGCCAAACCCAAATCCTGCAACTCTTCTTCGTAGGTTTTTGTCCCCAGGGTTGACGCTGATGTTCTCCCTAAGGAAAGCGCCTCGAAGATGCTCTCTTTAGGGAGCTTCTCCCCTCTGGCTTTTCTGGAGGCTTGTAGGGCCTGAGTTCTACAACCAGGAAGGGGGCTTACTCCAGTAAGATGCTATTCATGTCTTGGTTGAAGAACTTGTGTTTGCCTTCTCTCTCCGCAGCTCTGGCAGCCTAATTCAGAAACAAGACAAGGAACGGTTAGGAGGCCAAAGCGACACCGGGCCGGGAAGGAGGGGGCAGGGGATTATTTTTTTTAAAAAAGGAGGAAAGTTACAAAACGTGGATTCAAAGGTAGATAAGACCACAGCCCCAACAAAACAGAACTGCGCTGAATCAAACCAAAAACTCTCATAAATCCAGGGGTGCGGTACAGCAATTGTAACTTCAAGACGGGTCATAAATAACTGTTTTTTTTTAACAGCAAACTTTTTTTTAATTCAAAAAAAATTTAAAATTGAAAAAGAAAAGACAAAAGGAAAGTAAAAATAAAAAGACAACACAAAAGTATGCAAAACATTTTTAAAAGATGCGTATTTAAAGGAAGAAAAAACAAAAACCCGTATTATTCCCCCCGCCCTTCGCCAGTTGACAAATATACAGCAACGGTTAAGAGCGGCCTCTCTTGCAAGATAGGTCCGAGATTTATAAACTTCCACATCTCTGGGCAAGCTGCTTCGATCTGTCGAGTAACTTTCTGAAGTCCATCCTAACTTCAAAGGGCAGTTAAGTGGCCGGTTTTAAAGGCAAGGACGTCCTGCATTGCTTGATATATGGGCAAACGGGATGTACCCCTACCTGAGTGACCCCTACCTGAGTGAGCTCCTCCACACGCTTCATCAGTGGTTCTGGAAGTCCCTCGGGAAGGGAGGGAGGGACCTGCTTGAGGTCGGGTTCCAGGCCTGCTCCCAGAGGATCGCTCCCATTCTCCATCTCCAGGAAAGGGCTTTCCTCCGGAGACTCGCTCAGAAGCTGCTCCAGGTCCAGGTCAGTCAGGGAGTCCATGGCTGTGGCCGCCTGAAGCAGGTCGTTGTCACTCGTGTGGCCGAAGAGGGAGAGGAGAGGGTCAGGCACGGACTCCGCTTCCCGCTGAGCTGGGGTTTCGGCCAACGAGGGAATGCTAAGCTTGGGTTCATCGTCCCTCTGCTTCTTGGCGTCCTTTTCCTTCTGAAATTTCTTCAGCATCTCCTTGACGCTCAAGGCCCCTGAGTATTTCTTCTTCTTCTTCTCTTTGCTGGCATTCAGAGCTGTGAAACTGTAAAAGACGTGAGTTAATTAATATACACAGCAGAGAGAAAAGCGTATACAGATTAATTCTCATTTACAGATTAACAGAGTTGGAAGGGACCTTGTAGGTCATCTAGGCCAACCCCCTGCCCAAGCGGGAGACCCTACGCCATTCCTGACAGATGGCAGCCCAATCTCTTCTTGAAAGCTTCCAGGATGAAGCTCCCACCGCTTCCGAAGGCAACTTCTGTTTCTATTGGTTGATTGCTCTGTCGGAAAATTCCTCCTCATTTCCAGGTTGAATCTCTCAGTTTCCATCCATTATTCCCTTGTCTGGCCTTTGGGTGCTTTGGAAAATAGCTTGACCTTTGCTTCTCTGTGGCAGCCGCTCAACTATTGGAAGACTGCTTTCCTGTCTCCCTGGTCCTTCTCTTCCCCAGGGTCCTCGATTTACAACCATTTGCTTAATAACCAGAGTTACATCAGCCCTGAAAAATTACGACCATTTTTCACACTTATGACTGTTGCAGCATCCCCAGAGTCGCGTGATCAAACTTTGGGTGCTTGGCAAGTGGCCTGGACGGCATTTATGATGGCTGCAGCATCCCAGCGTCCTGGGATTGTCTTCTGCAACCTTCCTAGGGGGCTTCTGACTAGCACGGCCAATGGGGAAAGCCAAATTAAGTTCCCAACTGCGTGATTCACTGAACAACTGTAGAGATTAGCTTAACGACAGTGGCAAAAATGTTGTAAAGTAGAGCAACAGAAAGTTTGGGTTTAACTGTAGTCGTTAAGTCAAGGACTACGCACGGAACATAGACAAAGGTGGCGACCATTTGATTATTAGCGCAGCCTCATGTTTGCTAGTTGTGCTAGACTGAAAGACCCATCCACGCCCAACAAGGTAGCCAGAAACCGTAAGGTTGGGGATTAAAGAGCTCTGCTATCTAGGCATGACACGCCTATGTATTTTGAAACCCCCTCAGTCACAAGACAGAAATAATGTAAAATAACGCACTGTCTTTTTTTTGCTCTCTCTCCCACATTTCGTGGGAGGAAAAGAACCGATTATTGCAAAGGTGGAATCAAGGCAACTGCACCCATCTTTGTTTATCGCGGGTGTTCTGTTGCTCATCCAAGGCAACCTCATCCGCCAGGGCAAAATTAGCTAGGCAAGGAGTCAAGTGAGTCGCTGGAATGGATCAGCTCTTGCCATACCAACTTCAGAGGTTTCCCCCCAAAATGCATTGCAATAAAGTTGGTGCGGCGAGAGTTGCCAACTCTCTGCCTAACTAATTCTGCTGCTCATTCAAGTTGTTTGAATGAGCGACGAAAGTCTCACAGATTATCAGAGGTTGATCCCAGTTGCCACGATTCAACCTTTGGACACCTTTGGCCTGGACGATTGAGTCTTCATCAACAGATTGTACAGTGGATTGAGTCTGTTGTCAGAAACAGATGATCGGGAGGAGGACTGGAATTTAGATCCCACAACGCAGCTTGAAAAATCGATCTCTCCCTAAACTTGCACGTCCTTTCCAACGAAGTTGAGTCCTCCGCAGGGAGATGGTCAAGACAATCCCTTTAACTTCAAAAACCACATCCATATCTCTGAGAGGGAGAGACTTACCCAGTTTTAGGAAATTTAGATTTTTTAGATTTCTTCTCTTTCTCGTAATTGTCATCTTTCTTTTTCTTTTTCACCTTCTCACCTCCCTCTTTCAATTTCCGCTTCTGCGAATTAAAACCAAAGTTATCATAAAACACAGCACACAAGGCTGGCTGGGGAATTCTGGGAGTTGAAGTCTACAGAAGGGAACGTTGCCAAGATTGACATCCCTGCCCTAAAGTCACGACAGGAAGCAAAGAGGACAAGAAAATAAAGAATCCTCTCTCCCCCAGCATCCAAATCCAAATAAATTACATGCCAAATGGATTTATAGCCAGAAATAGTCCCAAAGGTGCTTTTTCGTCAAGAGGCAACTGGACTTCCTTTGTTTTTCTTTGAAGATGTTTCACTTCTCATCCAAGAAGCTTCTTCAGATCTGATGGATGGTGGGGGAATGGAAGGATTTATATTCCTTGCACAGTTCCACTATTGTCCTTTCAGCAGTTCCAAGAAGGCTCCGCACCCATTTCCACTACTCAAGTGACCCTGGAATCCTTCCATTCCTCACCATCTGGTTAGAGCTGAAGAAGCTTCTTGGATGAGAAGAAAAAAAATAAGCAAGTCTAGTTGCCCGATGAAAAAAAGCACCTTTGGGACAACAATGACCTGGAGGACTGAGAATCTCCGTAGACATTTTGGGCCAGAAATAGGAACACCTCGTCCTTTGAGGAAAAACAAACAAACAGCCAGCCAGCTAAGTACCGATGTGATCTCAACTGCTATAATCTCCCAGTCACGAGAGCCCTCTGTGCTGTTAAGGTTACAAGCAACGGCATGCAGAAGTTGTTACAACTTCCTGTTTGTTCACAAAGTATGAATGGACTTTTGGACCTCGTTGCTGTACTCTGCCTCTGTTTACTTTCACTTATTTTCACTGATGGCGGCACGGTGCCTCCCAGTTTTACAGGTCGCCCTTGAGCAGGCCTCTCGCAACCTGGATGACGGGTGTAATCCTCTCGGTGCATTCTTGGGAATTTCACTCACCATCCTTGCGTTTTCTTCCCCAAAAGTGCTACCTATTGATCTACTTGCATCTGCACGCTTTCGAACTGCTAGGCTGACAAGAGCTCTTAATCCAGCATCTTGATCTACCTCATTCCGGCCTTCCCATTTCTTGTCTGATACAAACCACAGTGGACTGGGTCTGATTCACAGCAGCTATTTGAATAGAATGGGAAAATCTGCACTTCCGAAGCACCATTTCTCAATTTGTTTTGACCAATCTAAAAGTTCGAGCCTCAAAAGTTGCAAGAAAATGGCTTTACGGAATCTTAAGACGCAACAGCAGAGAGCCTATTTATGGAACAGCCAGGCCCACAACGTAAGCTAACTTACTGCAATGTAAGCTAATTTAGGAAAAATGGACTTTTTTTCCAATTAAGATGAGAAAAGCGACCACTGCTTTGTCCCGAGTCAGAAACACAATTGCAATGCATTGAAGGCCACTCCTACAACAGAAGTTTTCAGAGCATGTGGACCACTGACCTTAGGAGACTTCTTCTTTTTCTCCTTGATAAAGTCATCCTCAGACTCAGAAGCCTGTCGGAACTGCAGAGTTCCAGAGTTGATGTAGAAGCCTCCATACTTGGTTGTTAGAGATGCTGGAACAAGCTCATCATACTGGAAAGAGTACAGAGAAACAGATCCGTCAACAGCCTTGGTGTACTCTCCTTACAGAATTGCTCTTTACAATCCCAAGAGGGCTCTACAGGACAATTTCCTGTGAGCAGAGTGGACATAGCAGGCATCGAAAAGCGTCATATATGCATCTAACCATCATTGCAAACTATCCTAAAAATATGAGTTCCAGGTGTAGCTATCAAAGAAGAGACAGACATCACGATCTCCGGAACTTAAAATATATTGCCCACTTAGCTCTTGTTAGCCTCTGCTAACATTGTCGGAGTGTAAAAACTACCATTGGAGAGATATTCGCCTCTATGCTAAATTGATCAATGAAGCATAAAGGTGAAAATTACTTTTGTGGAGATTATTAAGGACGCACACTGGTCATTAAATGAACGTTACAGTTGGTAAGGGAACTTATTGTACTCACTGGTTTCTGGCAAAATAATAATAATAAATCTCAGTCACATAAGTGTGGGATAATGCAAACAGCCATAAACTTGGGCCAGGGAAATAAAAGTAATGTTATGGGATGAGAGGAACCCAGATGCCTTTGCACCCAGATGCAAAGTAGCGAAGCATCCTTGAACTGTTCCGTTCCCAGAAAATTGCAACTTTTAAAATGCCAGCAGTTGCTAGAATACCCAGCGTTCCAAAGTTACAATGATTCTGTTAGTTCTCCTGTAACTTTTACAGTTAGGGAAAGAAAAGACTTTGAGTTCGCTACTTACAGCTTCAGAATTATCAATGAAAGAATCTGATTCATCATAACCTTGTCCCATGTCAATCAAATCCTGAAAACGGTCTTTCCTGCGCTTCTTTCCACCCTGAAAAGAGGGAAGATTGATGTTGATCCGGATTTATTTGCAAGAAGGGCTACAATTCCTGCCCAGGCACCCAACCCCAGAGTCTCCTGCTAATGCTTAGACCTGGTGCGCGCAACTGCACAATCGTTACAACAGCACAATCGTTACAACTCTTGAATGGAAACAAAAATAAAACATCAGCTGGCCATAGTCCACCACAGAAAAATCCATGGAGGTGGAAGATGAGAGTTGTGCTTATTTTCTAAAATATGAGGCGGCTAAAGGATAGCTTTTACAGGCAGTCCTCGAGTTATGACCACAATTGAGCCCAAAATTCACGTTGCTAAGTGAAACATTTGTTAAGTAAGTTTGGCCCATTTTACGACTTTTCTCGCCACAGTTGGGAAGGGAACCATTGCGTTTGCTAAGTTTGTGACACGGTTGTTAAATGCATCCAGATTCTCCACGGACTTGTGCTTGTCAGAAGGTCACAAAAGGGAATCGCGTGACCCCAGGACACCATAACTGTCATGAGTTATTTGTCAAGTGTCTGAATTTTTATGATATATGACCATGGGGATGCTGCCCCGGTTGTTCAGAGTGAAAAACGGTCATAAGCCTCATTTTTCATTGCTGTTCTACCTTTGAACAGTCACTAAATGAACTGTGGTAAGTCGAGGACTACCTGTACACCTCTTTAACTTCTGAAAATCTCAAGCCTTACATAAAAAACAGCATCTTTCCTGGCATGTTCTGGCATCACCATGGACCACATAACACAGCAAGGGCTGAATTTAGAAAGATAGGAACCCAGAGTTCTCAGGTCAAACACAACCAGCTCATAAACAGAGAGTGACACTTTTGATACTCAACGTCAGGAAAAGACCAGGCAAAAGTCAGTAAATTTGAGAATTTTTAAAACACCTGGATTTAAACCAAAGGACTAGTACAGTGTTGGCAAACCTTTTGGGCACTGAGTGCCAAAACGGGAACGAACGCGCGGGGGAAGCGCAGGAAACCAGAAGAGCAGCTCCCCGCCACTTGGTCTTCCGGTTTCTGGTGTGCATGTGTGCACAAAGACCAGCTGGCCAGCACGTATACGCGTGCCAGAAACCAGGAGCTGTTCTTTTGGCTTCCGGTGTTCCTAGGAGCGTGAGGACCAGCTGGGCGACATGCATGTGCCGGAATCTGGAAAAGCAACAGGTAGACGGCTGGTGCGCCTGGAGAGATGGCTCTGCATGTCACTTCCGGCACATGTGCCATAGGTTCGCCATCACAGGACTAGTATCTTGATTCTCTGTTCTACAGTAATCCTCTTCTTCATCTGTGCGTGTTTGAGACAGCAGGAGAAACGTATGTAAAAAAACAACAACATTGTGATTCTGAAGCTCCAGCTAGTTGCTGAATGTGAGTGTTAAGATGAACCTGATGGGAAGCCTAACAATCGCACCAAGTTTTAGAAAAATTAAAGAAAGCTTGCAAAAGGCCTAATATTTTAGAAAATGAAACTTCAGATAGACCAATGGCGCAAGCTGGCCATTTTCTCTCTGGATTTTAAATAAACACGGATAGGAAAATATTCCAGACTGGAAATCTGTCCCACCCACCCCCAAATAAATTGTTAAACAGAGTGGACCTACCATGGTCCACTCAGTTTACACTCCCAATACAGGAAGCCTGGAATGAAACGTAGCTGTATGTTTTTGACAGAACTTTTATGGAGAATACTAGAACCAAGATTTAACTGGAACGTAGATGGGACAGAGAAGCGTACATATTTCTCTTCAAACTTCCTGGTAAGGGCTTCTGCTTTGTGCTTCTCCTTTTCTTCGTCATTGAAGGGATCAGCAAAGTCTTTTTTCTGTAGGAAAAGGGGAATGTGAAAAAGGAGGAAAGAGAGCATGTCACACAGTTTCAGAGAGAAGTCCCACCGCAACCGTCATAAATGGGTCAGCTGCCAAGGATCTGAATTTTGATCATTTGACCATGCGGATGCTGCAACAGTCATAACTGTAAAAAATGTTATTTTTTTTCCAGTGCCGTTATAAGTTTGGTCACTAAATGAAAATTTACAAGATGAGGAATACGCTGTAAGTGTACTTTTAACTGCTGTAAAAAAGAGTTTAGAAGCGACTTCTTGATTTTTGTTTCTAACTCTTCCACCCTTTTAGCTTTGATATTTTGCTTAATTCATAGTAGTTTGTATCAATTTTTAATCTTTCTTAAAAAAAAAGAAAAGAAAATCAAGGTTCTGTCTTTGCAGCAACCTATTCTCCCCCTATCATTCTTACCACAGTCCCAAATGAATATATTGGGCTAGTTTATTGAATTTTCTCATGGATTTTCAGGCAGGCCTCTGGAGACCACTGATTCGTTGGGCTGGCCATCCTTTAGTGACATTTAATTGCTGTCAGCCACCCAGAGTTTCTGAAAGTTTGGCAACGTACAACGTAATTGATAAGGCTTGACATGACTTGACAAGAGCTGAAGTTTATGACATTTATGACTGTAGTTATTGTTATGGTCTGCTAAGATGCACATTACAAATTTAAAAAAAAGAGAGAGAGAGAGAGAGAGAGAGAGAGAGAGAGAGAGAGAGAAAGGCCTGCTTACCTTTTCTCCCGCAGAACTGCTTTTCACTTTGCCTCGGGTCATCTTCAGCAGTTCTGGGTAAAAGAATTCTGGGCAGCGCTTGTGATCTGGCTCAAAAAGGGAGAGGGCAATGCGTACGGCTGTGGCTGCCGGCTCAGACTCTGGAGGATGCTCTGGGTTGGCGACATCCTCCCACCGAGGTTTTTTCAGCAAAGTGGTACTCAGTGGTCCTGATAAGGAGGTGAGTTGGACCCGGTGGGGTTCCGTCATGGCTATGCGTTCGTTGCAGCTACTCTCAAGGCATGGTTTCCATCGCTTTAGGCCACAGGTGTAGGTAGGGGAGCGTTCACAGTTAGCACGCGCTCAGAACCAAACACTGAAGACCAAAGTCAATGCAGATCTTAGATTACAACTTCAAAAGTAACCCAAGAGTCTCTGTTTTTTCCTAAATGAAGAATCATCCCATAGCAACACCTTTGGGGGGTTAACTTCCAGCCCTTGAAATGATGGTCACTACGTAGTCCAGCTCTGTTTCAAAAAGTGAGCGAAGGCAAATGGACAGAAATAATTTTCTGAATGGAGCAACTTTTATACAATTTCCTATGTGGCTATAAAAGTCAGCCTGGGTTACAGTACTGTGCATTAGAGAGTTTCCCACACAAGGGGCTGACATAATCAAAGGACACTGAACACATGAGCTCCAGTTTTCAGGCAAACTAAAATCCAGCCCCGTCGTTCTTCTGATGGTGATTCATCCAGTCCAGTGGCAGGTAGGCTGTGTTCCTGATAACTTCCTTGTATGCAGGTTTCTTTTGAGTTGCTCTAGAGAGGGGAGGAAAACAAGAAAAGTTACAGCACACAACCCAGCCTGGTGGTTGCCCAAGGGATGCACAGGCAATGGATGGATCCCTCTGCGTTTGCGTACCAACGTGTTTCAGCTTGAATGAGGCTATACGGAAACTGTATGGTAAGAGAGGACGGAGGAAGCTCAGTGAAATAATTCACCACACAATACTAATCCAGCGCTTTGGAAAACTAATCACTGTACAGGTCAAACCTCTTTTTGGACAATAGAGGTGATAAGAGTGGATAGGTGGGTCAAAGCAACAACAAACGACTTCATTCATTAGAACATGCACACACACACAAACTATACATAGTGGGGAGAAATAGCCAACCAGTTTACTTATCTTTAGTTCTTCTAATCTGGAATGTCTCTCTATTTACCAGAGGTGTGCCGGTAAATAGCAAACAGCATATACTGCTTCACAGTGCTTTACAGCCCTCTCTAAGCGGTTTACAAACAATCTGCGTCCTCATTTTACCAACCTTGGAAGGATGGAAGGCTGAGTCAATCTTGAGTCAGGCAGGATCGAACTCCTGGCAATGAGCAGTGAGTTAGCTTGCCATACTGCATTCTAACCACTAGCGCCACGTGGCATGGCTCGTAGGTTTAGGAACTGGCTCCATTGCTGCCATCATATCACTGATCAATTGGCGTGACTGGCACGATAGGCAGCTCAGCCCAGCTTTGCTCTCAACTAGCTTGCAGAATTCTAGGAGATTTAAGAGCCAGTTGTACCCACCGCAGCAATTTGGTCGCTGTTGTTAAAGAAGGCTGGACTCATAAAGCATAGCTGACCCAAAGTCCCCCATAGAACTTCTAGGGATGAAGACAATTAAAGGCCACTTATGACCACAGCTTGAACAGATAAAAATTAGGTGCCAAATCAGTCAAATGGATTTTGAACAAAACTGAATTAAAAGATGAAAGAAGGGGACCACTGAGCAAGGAATGAAAATTAAAAGGGGATATGGCTGAAGGATCCTACCTCCCTTACTCTATTTGGGAGTGACTAAGTGTAAAATCAATAGGCTCAAGTGTAGACTCTTAGCAGATAACAACATGCTATGTGAGGCGCAGAGCCCGGTGCACCTGCCGGGATGGGATGTCAGCTACCACCAGAAACACGTACGTATTGAGGGGAGAGGAGGGCAGGGTTGCAAAGATACAAGTGGATCTATTGTTCCTCTGAGAGGCCTTCTATTTTTTTCCAGAAGAAATCCAACATCATACCCTGAAAACCAGAAAATTTGCCAGTCAATGTTGGTAATTTTGAGAGGCCAAAAGAGAGGTGAGAAAGGTGACTTTAGCCACAGGAATCAACATCATACCAATACAAAATGCTAAATTGATCACTGGCATTTAAAGAAAAAAAAACCTCTAGGACTTTCTGCAAAAGAGAAAACTGTCCGAGTCAAAATACTTCCAAACCTTTGCCAAGTCAGATGGTTCTGACTCAGCTGTGAAACTGTGTACAAATAAAATATTTTTTCTTTTTTAAAACCCACCAAAAGAGATGCATAGACACAAACAAGTCAAGGAAAATACACTGATCCTCGATCACATCCTTGGAGGCACTTGCTTCAAAACAAGAACTCTCTAAGGACAAAGCTTAAGCCTTGTTAAAAAGCTAGTGTAACGTAACAAAACATTATACAGCTCAGCTATGTTTGCTGAATGATTTCAGGTTTGCTCTTTGACTCTTGACGGTAGAGTGGATTTAAGGAACACTGTGCTCCTTTTAGAAATGAAGACAGCAGCTGTGAGACAGCATGATATGTGAGATGGCTCTTGAAAAGATTATTGAACTTTGGTCATAATTGCTAGCAATATTTTATTCTATACTAGAAAGATTTCCCTACATTCAACTCTTGATATTATATCTTTGACTTGTGTACTTAAAGTACTTTACTGTCATCTCAAATTCTTTTCTTTCTATTGTCCATTATCATGGCTCTTTCCTGGACGCCCTTTATCTTAGCCCTGTGTTGAAACCATTGGTAAATTACCTGACCGTAGTCTTCCCCCATTTGACACCCATCAGCGTTCTGGATTCAATGCTGGCCAAGGAGTCTTAAATCCCAATGCATCTAAAGGGCAGCATCTTGATGAAGACCATTTTATAAATTGCAAGAATGCAGTTTTTGCTTTCTAGAAAAATGGTTTATAGTCTAAGTCACTCTCCCATTATTGCATTTTCCATTGTTTCATTTGAGATTCCTTATCTTCATTTAATACTTGGAATAGCAAAATGCTTTTGTTTGATAGTGCAACATTGTATCTTTACAGGAAAATGCAGATACTGCTTGTCCATTCATAAATTACGAAGGTCAGAGGTATAGCATTCGATAAAAGTTAGTCTTTTATAATGAACATTCTTTCCATTTTTTTACTTCTCCTTTAATTTCCTTTTCCACTTGTTTCTTCACTTCCTTTTTTCATTTCCCGATCTTTTTAAGATGGGGAAAAATATCCTTTTATTATATATTTAACAACCTGTTTTTCCACTCTGTTCATACTGATAGTTCTTCCTCCTCCAATTTATTCCCACAACAAAACCATCTGGTTAATTGGACAGAAAACATGGTTACTCTGATACCAGAAAGCTTCCATATTGGTGTTAAAGGAAAAAGACTTAATTTTAGAATTGCCCAATCTATCTCATGCCCACTTATATTAGCCCCCATTCCATTTTATGGAGTTGCATATAATTTATTGTTCTACAGAATTACACCAGAAAACAGAAATCAAAACCAATCTGTGCAATTGCTAGAGAGCAGTATAAACTACAAAATTTACCAGCACTAGCATTTCCAAATGAACAAAACCAAACCAGCTTTCCCTAATTTCTTCAGCATTAGTTCAGTTTACAGAAAGATAACAGATTACCTTATCTGTGGTAACACAAAGTTTATTTTTCTCCACACCCTCCTGTTATTTCAAAGTTGCATTGTCGGTACTATCAGAATACTGAACTCCTTCTTCTTATTTCAAATTCCTTCTCATTAATAAACTCAAACTGGCAAACCACAAGCTGTATTCCAGCTTTCAAAATGTTTAACATAGCACTGATACTGGAATACAAATTGCTAATCTTTTTTATAGTACAATGCTTTGCTTTTTGCAAAAACAGGTAGCATATTATGAAACACCCCCATCCCCAAATTAGAAATGTTACATCAACAACCACAGCACTTGCTTCTGTCCCTGAATATTTTTCAAAATCCTCAATTTAACCACATACCACTATTGTGTCTGTAGCCTTTAATTGGGAGAAATGGTATATCATAGAGCAAAACATTTTAAACCAGGACACCTCAAATGGACTAACTTACAGAATGTATCCAAAATCTGGGACCTAGGTTTTCTGAAATTTTGTGAAAACATTTTGTAAATGTTGTAATTTTGTAAGACACTTCATGACACAAACATGACCATAAAGCATTCTTATGACATAATACAAAAAGTCATAAAACATTTTCTACGATCAACTGCTATCATGCTCTACAGTTCGACATGAGCTATTTTCAAGGCAGAAGATATTTGAATATCTTCCTGAATTTTTAAGAATTTTTCAAGAGAAGCCAGTATGTTAAAAATTCTGCCACTGTTGAAAGCGTTGAGGAATTTGATTAGGAAATACCTCTGAAACAATGACCCAACAAGTCACAGGTCATCTAGTACAACATAAAGACAATATATCTAGAATGGTGTTTCTTAAGATCCCTGGGTATCTTTCAAGACCTCTCTGGGGTCTGTGAAACCATAATTATTGGCCACCTTACGCTGAAAAACAATGCCATATTAAAATCCTACCAAACAACAGTCAGAAGCAATAGCAGCAGTGAGTGCATCCATTTTAATCTTTCATACGGCGAATATCGACAATGACAACGGATGCAAAGGAAAGCTTCGATAAAGGATAAAGCTTGTAGCTCAGGGTTGAAATGAGGAATCCTGGGTACTCCCTGAGCTCTGATCGTTTTCTTGCTGGTAAACATCAACAGTAGACAGTGATGATGTTGCCTAGTTTGGGTCATGAAATATCTGCAAGAAAACCATCAAAAAAGAAAACCCAGCCCCCCCCTCAAAGCTCTTTGGGGGCTCTGCCTTAAAAAGTGGGGACCTTTAAAGAACGCTGATCTAGGACGATGGAAGGGACCTTGTAGGTCATCTAGTTCAACCCCCTGCCCAAGCAGGAGGTCCTTACACCACCTCTGTCAATCTGTTAATCAAAGGATAGAGAGCAAGGAGGAAGAGAGCTATTACCTTCCTGAATTTGAAGGGCATCCATCCCAAAGGAGGGTTCAAAGTCTTCTGAAAGGAGGTCTTCTTCCTCTCCAGCTGCTCTGCAAAGAATCTCAGCTGCACCCTGATTATTTGGGGGGGGGGGACGTCCTGCTGCTCAGTTCTGGCCCAAAAGGCCCCCCCTCTTCCTCCTTCACCTGCAGCAACACAAGAGCTTTGAGCTAGGGCTGTGGCTCCAAATTTCATTTTATTTAGAATATGTATATACCCGCCTACTGGCTGACAGCCACTCTCCCTTCAGGGCCAACAGGTGCCAGCCAAACAGGAGCCCAACCTGGCAAAACAACAACACCCCCCATCCCCAATTTCCCTCCCCCCCCTCCCCCGACCCGCTTTTTCCCTTTGGGAATTACTGGAAAAAAAAAAATTACCCACCCCCCCCCCCCCCCCCTCGATTGGGAATGGGAATTGGGAGTCCTTCCCATCTGGTAGGCCGAGTTGGCGGGGGCAGCGGTTGGTTCAATGAAGCCAAACTGAGGCTCCCCAGAGTGGCCCGTCTTGGGGGGGGACAGGTTAGGCCGGGTCAGGCCTGCCTACTTTCCTCCCACCCCACGACCGTCCCCCACCTCGTTTGGGGCCGACCCCGTCGGGAGTCCTGGCCTTCGCAGGCGGCGAGCGGGCCCAGAGAGCGAGGAGGCAATTTAGTGACAACCCGCCCGGGGCTGCTGGAAGCCGGGATGAAGGGAAGGCATCCCGACAGGTGTGAGAGGCGCCGCTTAGTATTGTTATCAACCTCGCCCCCCCCGCAACTCCAAACACCCCCAGTCGGCGAGGCGGAGAGCAAGGCCCCGTTGCCCCTAGTTACGAGGGAGGCGCTTTCGCGCGCCGGGAGGTTTGTCCCTTCTCGCGCTCTGTATCCTCTCCCACCCGCGAGCCTCCCGCTGCGCTCACCAGCCCTTGCCGGCCTCGTCGTCCTCCTCCTCCTCCTCCTGAGGCCGATCGCCGTCGTTCTTCCCACCAGCGGCGTCCCGTCAGCCCCCCTTCTAACCCTCTGCCCGGCCCAGCCAAGATGCCTTCTCTCTGTCTCTTCGGAGCTCCCGCGTCACGTGCCAGGGGTGAGCCGAGGCAGCCCCGCGCGCGCAAGGGAAGCCGGGGCGAGGGGGGGGGAAATAGGGAGGGGGGGGAGAAAGCGAGCGAGTCACGTGACGCCAACGCCCCCGCCTTCCAGGCGCGCGGGGAGGGGAGGGGAGGGGAAGGGAAGGAAAGGAGGGGGGGGACGACAACGAACGGCATCGGCGGCGTCGGGTCACGTGGGGGCGCCCCGCGGACGCCGCGCCCCGCATCACGTGCAGGGGCCCAGCCTATCGGGGCTCCCCTCTCTGCTTCTCACCCCCCGCCCCCACCACCACTCGCTGTTCTTCCCAGCCCGTCCCTGCCTGAGGGAGAAGAAGGGAGAAGGAGGAGGTGCGGACGGTGCGCGAACCGGCCGCGGAGGAGGAGGCGGAGGAAAGCGGGGACCGAGCGACCGAACGAGCCGGGGCTCGCGGAGGAGCCGGTCGACGCGAGGAGGAGGAGGAGGAGGAGGGTGTGGCGGCCGAGGCGCAGCGACGGTGCCGGCTGGGTCGGGAAGATGGCGGCGGCAGCGGCGGCGGCGGCGGCGCCGCCAGTGAACCTGCGGCTGGGAGACTTAGTGTGGTGAGTGCGGACTCGAGGGGTGCCGCTGAGTGCCGGACGCGGCCTTGGGGAAGGGAAAGAAGGGTAAGGCAGGGCGGGGCCGCTGGGCCTGATGAGGGGAGGGGGAGGGCGGGCCGAGCCATTCAAAATTAATAAATAAATAAGGGGTGGGGAGAGAAACCGCCGACGAAAGCCGTGGAAGACCGGAGTGGCGCCTCGGACCGGCCGGGGTGGAGCTGCGAGACGGACGGTGAGCTTTGGCGGGAGGGGCTTCCTCGGAGAAGGGGAGGGGAGAAGCCCCTTAGTAGCCCTCCCTGTCCCGAGCCCTCCCGGGTTGGAGCGAGGAAGACGCGGAGGCCCAGCGCCCCCCCCCCTCCCCACCGGCTCTCCTCCGGCCGCTTCGCACAGAGCCTCGAGCTCCGGGTGACAGCCGGCCCCGAAGACGGGGCTGCCTTGGAGAAGCGGGTGGGAGAGCCCGCCGGGTTGGGAAGAGCGATGCCTGGGCCGAGGCGAAGCGTTGGAGCCTCTGGGAGGAAGCAGCAGCAGCAGCAACGGCTACGTCTCTCTGCGGGGCCCTCCGGGGGCAGCCAAATGGAGGAAGGAGCGAGAAAAGCTCCTTCCCGGTTTCGACGGGGCGGGGGCGGGGGGGGGTCGCTTGCGTCTTCCTTACTCGCAATCCAACCTTCCCGTGAGACGAGATCCATCTCATCCTGTGCGCCCTTTTTAAAAAAACTATTATCTGGCAGACGGTGCAGGACGACAAATAGGCCGAAAAACAGCTTCTATCCCAGGGCAATATTGAATTCTATTGCAATATTAATGCAATACTAATTTAAATTCGGTTGTATAGAACGCAAAGGATGTGTATTTGTGTTTTATTTTAATAGTTATAATGTATACTGAAGATGGTACTTAATTTCGTTGTACAAGGTGCAATGACAATAAAGTAAACTAAACCAACTGACTAAAAGTAAGTTGCCCTGAATCCCAACAGCGCTTCCCTTCTCTGCATTGGGAATGTAAAGGAAGAGCCAGTTATTTATTGGTCATCAAGTTCCAACTTAGATGCATTTTTATTTCTTGGCTGTTGAAGCAGCATCCCTCTTGCAAAGGATAATAATATACAGATTTGCTCCATGGAGAGAAAGAATGTGGTCGGGGTACTTGGCAATTCCTATAATTAGAGAGTGCAATAGAAGCAAGAGGAGGAGGAGGGGGGCTGAGGCTCATCGCAATAGGCCAGGCCTTGCATGCAAAGGAAGGGTCCCATCTTTAGTTTTTGGGCAATTTCTTAATAGGATGGGTAAATAGAATAGACTAGAATAGAATTCTGTATTGGCCAGGTGTGATTGGACATGCAAGGAATTTGTCTCAGGTGCAGAAGCTCTCAGTTTACATAAAAACAACAAGAAAGTGATAGATTCCTGCAGGAACTTTTATGGGGACAGCTTGGCTTCTTTAAGAATGCCCAGCAAAATTGGATAATGTCTGGTAGTCTTTTCCCACCCAACATATCTGCTGTGTGGATTTCAGTTCCCAAATTCCAGTGCCATGGATATGAGGAATTCTGGGAGTTGACGTCTCTCATTTGAAATGCAACAAGGTCAGGAAGGGCTGGTCTGAAATTGTACTGCAGTTTCCTACACAATGTTCTAAACAGGTACCTAAGTGGCTTAATCCGGCAATAATTTATTTTAACTAAATTTATGGACAGAGGCTCTGGGAGCTATTCTTTGCTGTCTTATTGCCTTCATCTAGATTTTGTTTTGCGGCTGTCCCTTTTATAAATATATCCTATAAAATTTATAAAATGGTCCACTTCCAAATAAGTCCCATGAGTTGAATGGACTTGTTTCCATGTAAATAAATGACATAGGGTTGTTTCCATAGACCAGTAAACCTTGCAGACTCTTGTTCTTCTTTACCTTATGATGTAGATTATTAATACAACTGTACAGTGAGTACAGGGTTTTTTTTCCCTGTTAGGAATTGCAAGATTAGAGTGAAAGTTCTCCTTGAAATTAACAATTGGATGCATGGTTTATATTTGTCCTTGATCCTCCATGATTTGCAAGACGTTATTGTTGGTTAAGGGCTATGTAAGGTATAGGTTTCTAACTTATGTAGGTAGGTTTCTACCTAAGTTCTTTGACAGCTACTAGCTGACCGATTATTATGTGCCAGTTGAGAATTTTTGGAACTTGTAAAGCCTATCTTTAAATGTGCGCCATCAGTGAATTGAGCTGTATTATTGTTGGGCAGTTGGAGTGTGTTCATTGTATAATGCCCATAATAATGAGGGGCTTTTACAACTTAATAGTTACCTATGATATACAGTGGAAACCCCAATTACCAATTGAAGGGAGTGGATTTAGGGATATGAAAGTGTAACCTGACGTGTTACTTATTTGATGTTTCAGAAGATGAAAGTGTTTATATAGCAGCCCCCGTTGTATTTATAAAGAGATTCAGCTTTCTAAAAAAATTTCTGAAGAGATTATGAAAGCTCTTGGTAAATTTGAATTTTCATCAAAGATGCAAAGACTATACACTTAAAAAGTTAAATTTTTTCTACCTCTTCAGACATGTGACTGTTGGTAGAACTAAATGTTTGCCATTACAATTAGATTGTAAGATTAGATTAGATATAAATACACTAAATGAGTGTAAAGCTAAGCGTCCTTCACTTTGCATCTTAGGACTGGCATTATAGGATTTAATATTGATTTAATATTCAATATTGAAAATATTGACTTCTTAATGGTTTGGAAAGAAAAAGCAACAGTTTGGGCATCTTTTACCCAGTTTCTTTTGACGTGATAATTCTGAACTCTGTTATGAACATAATAACTCTCCATTCCCTGCTAGCATCCATTAATATCAAATTAAATGAATTTTTTCAGCAAAGATTCAGGGCTAAATTGGTTAAGTCGTCTATAGCCTTTGCGGATCCATAATTTCTCTAGCATTCTATAGGGCAAGGATGTCAAACTCGTGGCCCCCGGGCCAGATGCATGCAAAGAGGGGGAAAGTCCACTTTGATGTGAGTTTGACACCCTTACTGTAGTGATATCATTTTGGTAGCTGGTGGTAGTTTATAGTCCTCTTAAGTAACGTAGTAAGTATGCTTCTGGGGAAAGGGAAAGCATGATACTGAAAATCAGAGAAAAATACAAGCATTTTAAACTGTTCTTAGTGCAGGTAGTTCTGAAATTATGACTGTAAATTGAGCAATTACAGTCAGAAATTGTGATGGTCGTAAAACGAGTCAGCATGTGAGCTGACATGATTTTATGACCTTTTTTGCAGTTGTCGTAAAGAGAATGCTGAGACTGATGTCTAGCTCATCCTCAACTTACAACAGTTCATTTAGTGACCATTCAATGGCACTGAAAAAAGTGACTTATGGCTGTTTTTCACCTTTAAGACTTTTGCAGCATCCCCATGGTCATGTGCTTTGCCTTTGGATGTTTGACAACAGACTCACATTTATGTCGGTTCCATTATGTCCCGCAGTCACGTGATCCCCTTTTACGACCTTATGACAAGCAAAGTCAATGGGAAATCCAGAGTCAACAACTATATTACTAATTTAAGAACAGTGATTCACTTAACAAAAGTGGTGAGAAAAGTCGTAAAATGGGGCAAAACTCAATTAACAAATTTCTCACTTAGCAACATAAATTTTGGGCTCATTTGTGGTCATAAGCCAAGGACTACCTGTACTGTGCTTGAGCTGTGTGATATATCTTCGGGGTGCATATTTCAAAAATATGATTTAGAAGTACTTTGCCTCTTCTGCCAGCACAGTCCCTTTCTCTCCATATTAAAGTAGCCTATTTTTCAGGCTTCTGTGCAAATCTGAGAAAAGAGTGCTACTTTTTTTATCTGTGATAAATATTTCAATGTCTTAGGGATCTCACTGGTCGTTTTGAATCCTTGGGGGCATCAGAAAGATTAAAAATAGTTTCAAACCATTGAAATTTATAAAGCTATTAGACAAAGAAATTCTGCTTTTTTGTAGTCTAACAAAGTAGCTCAAGCAAAGGCCCCTAGTGGGTGTGTGGCATGCCCACAACATCCTTCTTTTTCCTGTGTGTCTATGGAGAATTTCAATCAAGGTCATGGTTGTCTCAAAGATGCTTCCCCTCCACCGCCCTTCAAAAGGCAACTGGACTGTTTTTTTTATTTGAAGAAGAAGACGTTTCACTTCTTATCCAAGAAGCTTCATTGGTTATAATTGGATGGTGAGCGGATGGAAGGATAGGTACTGACAGTTGAGACTATGGTTCTTTTTCCTGTGTTTGGAAGCAATTTGGAAACAGTGCCAAAAGTTACAGCATCATTGATCCTTTGTAATTGGTATGCCCAGTTTGAGTGCAAAGTCATCTAATTCAGTATACTTTAAAAAAAAAACATACCTTGTCCCCTTTTCCATGACTTTGTGCATTTGGATATTACTCTTTAATGTGAATTCCAATCA